AAGACTAAGAAAACAAACCAGGTAAGGCACCAATTACACGCCTATGTGCCAGGCACAATAGTAGGGGCTTTATATGCATAATTTCATTAAATCTTAACACTGTTAATAAAAAATTGCTCTGAACCTTCATAGATATGAGGAAGAATTACTAAAGTCACTTAGCTAAACAGCAAAGTCAGAATGCAAATACACCTAACAGAATAGTAGTTAAAATAACTATTGATATCATCATCCAACATATTTTCAGCAACTTTTTAATAGGATCTGAAGGCAAACCTCTGAAGGCGGTTTCAAGTATGCACAGCTTATATCCAAACGTTTGAATGCACTTAAAACTAGGCCAATCCTCAGCCCATAAAGTAGTCATTAAACCCATTACTGAGATTATGGGATATTTGATTTCCATCCAAGACTCTTAAAGAAACCAGGAGAAAAGATGTTTCAGACCAAACTAAAATGACTTAACAGCAATGCTCACAGTCCAAGTTCAGGCTGAGATATGGAAGCCAGTAGTGCAGTATTTAGGACAAGGATAGCATCCCAATACCCCCTTTCCTTTTATTGTTACACACTGTACTTATCAGGGACAACTCTGATCTTTATTTATTGCACATTAACTGAACATCTGTACTCTGTCAGGTGCTACCTTTGGGAATCAGACTGTTCAGACTTTAAATTTTTCATGTAACAATTTAACAAGCCACCTGAGAAAGTGTGTACTCTTACAGCCGGTCCTACTCCACCCATGAGAAAGCAAGATAACCTTTAGAAGGCCAAAATGAGTGTGGATTCCAAGTTCTAAAGTCCAAGCTCTTAGTTAATTAGCAGTCCTCCAGAAGCTCAGTGCTCACTTGATTTTCTCTCGTACACACTAACCACAGATCTGGTTTTAAGGCCATATCCAAGGTGGGCCCCTCATTAGCCTACTGCCCTATGCAAGTTGCTTCACTTGTCTGAGCCTTAGTTTGCTCTTAGGAAAGATAAGGATAACCAGCTATATTTCCAGACTATTACAAGGATTAGAGATAATTATGTAATAGACTTTTCAAGCCAATAATTAAAGGTATTTCCAAGAATAAGTGACAGCAAGAAGACAGACAAGAAACTGCATAGACATAAAAACCCAGCAGCAGCAGGTTGCACTCTGACATGGCTGTTGAGGGCACACTAAGGACACACAGAAGTAACGCGATGTGCTTTAAGACCTTTAAAACAGGTTAAACTTTTATTCCATGTGTTTGTTTGACATTGGAAAGATTCTTACTAAAACATAATTTAACATCACGAATTTAATATATTAGATGACTAAACTTTAATTAACTGAAACCTCTTTTACCAGGCTGGGAGCATAGCTCACATGTAGAGTAAGTGTTTAGCATAGAAAAGACCCTGGATTTAATCCCCAACATGGGGAGTGGGGAGACAGGAACCTCTTAAATTTTTTTTCTACTAAATATTGAAAAAGATGTATTTCAAATAAATTAACTATGAAATTCTTAAATGGAGTAATACAAGACATGATCCATTTCTTCAGACATAACACTAAGAAATGTTTTTGTGTCCCTTATTGCTAAATGTTTTTCTATCTACCAAAGAGACATAAATGTGTGCCATGGCAGTCCTTTTTCATTTGCATTTTCTCCCTACATTTGGAAGGCAGTAAAAAGTGTGAACCTCTATCCTATGGTTAAAAATAAATGATGTTCTTGGAAGCCTATAGATACCACGACCAACAGCTTCAAAGTTGGCTGGCAATGACTTAATCCAAAACCTGCAAAACCAAGGCCAAAAACAATGTCCCTAAGGACAATGCTGAAGCTCCCCAATCCCATGGTGATTTCCAAGACACCCATAATACAGCAGAAGATGGAAAGGATTCAAATGTGGTAGCAGATGACAAGAAAAGAGTCAGCAGCTGAGAAAGGGCCTTGTCAGCCTTCAACCCTGTTCCACAGTCTCCATGACAGTTGCCTCAACAAGATCTGATTCCCTCTGGCTAAAAATTACTTTTCATGCAGCCCAAGGGAAGGCCAGACTTTCAACCATTAAAGGAATGTATCTTGTTATCAATAGAAACTAGAAGATCTCATCAGTAAAGACCTAGATCTTATAACATTTTAAAGAACACTTTTTGCTCTGTGTGTTGTGTTACAGTGCTGAACACCCAAACACTAGGATGTGAATCAGTAGACTCAGCTTCTATTTCTAGCTCTGCCTCTGAATGAATCACACTGTGACCTTGGGGAAGTTATTTCACCTCTGACTCCATTTTCCACCAATCACAAGGTTAAGTTCAACCTACAGATTACTTTTTCTGAACAACACTGAGTGAATGATAATAAATATACAGAAGTTGATGCTCATATATAAAAAGGACTAACTTTGTACAATCAAAAAAAAAAAAATATGCCTGGAGGGCTCAACAAAACCCAGGTGCTACTTGACCAGGGCTCTTTTTAGAGTCCCAAATGCCAAATTTAAAAATACTACCAAATTAAAATGATGTGAAAGTACGAAGAACACCTTTTGTTTTAAAACAAAACTTCAACCTACTTAGGGCCCTAAGCTCTTTCAAGACTATGCTCAATCCTCCTCCTCTAACAAGTCTTCTTCCTTTACCCCCTGCTGAGGAAATAAGCTGCTGTATCCTTTATCTTCCCAGGGTACTGGTCTGCAGATCTCCAGATAGATGACAGATGATGGCTAGATGGATGTATGGATGGATAGATAGATTAGATAGAAGATACATGGATGGATAGATACATGATAGATAGAAGATGGATGGATGGATAGATGGATGGATAGATAGATAGATAGATAGATAGATAGATAGATAGATAGATTCCTGTGCAATCTTACTTTTTTTTCTCTGCTGGGGAGGAACCAAGAGGCTTGCACATGCTGGGCAAGAGCTCTACCACTGAGCTACAGAGTCACACCCTGTAGTGTACATATTAATGTCTTCTCTTCACTTAGTAAAACTTGGAAAGGCAGAACCGTGGTTTAACTATCTATTGGTGGAGCTTGGGATGTTACTCAGTGGTAAAGTGTTTGCCTAGCATGGGATGGTTTCCATTCCCAGCACTGGGGAAAAAAATAGTAAGTCTGGCACAATGTGGCTGTCCAGTACACACACACGCACACACACGCACATGCACGGACACACGCACACGCACACACACACGCACACGCATATGATATGCTAAATGAGTGACACAAGTGCTAAAGTCTTTGCTACTAGGAATAGCAATCATTAACATTAACCACTGATAATTTTAATTGTGATGAATCATTTTCATTTTAGGAAACTATATAAAGAAAAAGATAAAAAAAATACATGATTTCTCACCAACATTAAATCAACAAAAATTGGATTTGCCTAGCATGTGCAAGGCCCCAGGTTTGATCTCAGCACAGCAAAAAAATAAAATACATTCACAAAAATTAACTGAAGAACTTTTCAATCCTCCACTATCAAAAATGGTCTCCAAAGTTTGCACATTTTACATTTTTAAAAAATAATTTGTCTAGGGAGTTGAAGACTATAAAGATTCTTTTTAGGTGAATGTATACGATAACAAAAAGGGAGAAAGGGGAGTGAAAAAACAGCCTGTACAGTGACTAGAAGAAACTACTTTTAAGATACTGGAAAAGCAAAATAACAGATGAAAATGAAAATGTACTCAATAAAAGCAGCTACCATTCACAGCATCTAACTAACTAATGAGTAGCTATCCTCTTTGAGAACATTCATCAAAATAACTTGTATAGATTACTTTTTTGGGGGAAGGGGAGTTTAAGACAAAGTCTCACTAAGTATGTAGCCCAGGCTGGCCTCCAACTCTCCGCCTTGCTGCCTCAGACTCCCAAGTGCTGAAATTATAGGTGTCACCATACCTATTTACTACAGACCTATTTACTAAAACAGAACATAAGATTTTAAAATTGTTTTGAATTTTGTAATTATTCAAATATTTATCACAAACCTACCGGCACTAGCATAAATGTTTGTATTTTTTCCATTCATTGGATTCTTAACTCTAGCTCATTCAATAATGAAGAGTAGGTGCTAAGATGATGAGAAACAGACACTACCAGGGAGCTCTTAAAAGTGAGGCCTTGGGACCTGTGAGCCTACAATAAAGGACAAACTCCTCTTGCACTTGACATTTACCACAATGAACTCACTCAGGCTGTGCTTCATGTAGCTCCTACCCAAGTCTGTACCAACACTAAGGAGGCCTCATTTGACCACAGTGCTTTTGGTCTTCTCACCTTCACACTTCCGCGTTACAGCCTGGGCACACTGGATCATGAGACCCAATGATATTAACCCTAATATTCTATTATTTATCCATTTGTTCACAGTATATACCAGATTTGCTTGGATTAGCAAACAGGAGTGACGACTTAACTTCGCAAAGCACTCCCACCCAGAACGCTGCAAGATAGAAACCACATATCATACATATCCACACATGTACTCTCACATGTCCGTATGTGTGTATGCATATACATCTATGTATATGTATACATGAGAGCAGTCAGAGATCACCTTTAGAATGTACTGGAGTAAATGATTTGTGCTTCCAATATCAGCAACTTTCAACACCTCGAGAAGTACCACGAACAATTTTGTTCTTTTAATGCTGTGGGGATAAGGAAGGAAAAAGAAAGATGGTTCCACTAACAAGGCACATAAGGAGTCAGCCTCCGTGGTGACCCTGTGACAACGGAGAGCAAATATTTTGGGGAAACCAGCAGAGCAGCCCTTTCTTGAAATGACTTAGGACAGGCACAACTAAATTGTTCCCTTTATCACCCTGTAAGAAAAACAAAAAGTATGTCCAACACCAGGACTTACTGAGGGAATGAGCTTGAAGGCAAACAGACCCAGTCCTAGCAGGCCAGGGCCTTTACAGAAGGCAAGTGGCTGGCCGGGGAAGGCCATGATTGGCAGGCGACCTGCTACCTGCAAGTGCGCGAATAGGCGCGCTCACCTGTAAACACGTTCTGGAAGCCATCTGCAGTTGCTGGCGCCCCAGACACCTTGGCTGCCAGCGCCGGGGACCCGCCACCGCTTTTGCCCTCGGTCGCCCCGCGCCCCAGCAGGTGCGCAGAGCCTCCAGCCCCAGGCGCGCGGACGCCCAGCTCCTCGGTCCAGTCAGCTGAGCGGCTCAGGCCGCCAGCGAGGCTGCCCTCCGCCCCCTGCTTCCTAGCCTGGGCTGCGACCGAGGCCGAGGCGGTTCTGGGCCCCCGGCTCAGGGAGGACTCCAGCCGCCTCTTGATCCTGGGGCTCTGGCTGGGGGACTGAGACGGGGAGTGATTGGGCGAGCTGAGCTGCCGGGTGGTGGTCTTGATGTAACAGGGAGCGACGAGCGGGTAGGGCTTGAAGCAGCGAGGGCTGGGCGCAGGGCTGCTGGGCAGGGAGGCGGGTGCGGGGACTCCGGGCCCTCGCGTCCGCTCCTCCGGGTCCCATTCCTCCCCGGGAGAGCCTCTGGGCGCATCCTCAAAAGCATCCTCCTCTCCCTCCTCCTCATCCGTGTCCCCGGCCCCTTGCACGCGGGCCCCTGCCGTGGCCTCTACCGGCCCAGCCTCCTCCGCAGACGCGAAGGCTGTGGACAAGGGCGAGTCTGCGACTGCGGACTGGGGGTCTGGGGAGGCGGGGAGGCCTCCGGGGGACGGTGGGGGCTCGGGCACCGGCGGCTCGGCGGTCAGGCTCTCGGGCAAGTCGGAGAGCGCGGCCAGGGTCTGCTCGGTGTCCATACCGCCCGGGGCCCCCGCAGCCCCGCTACTCGGTCCCAGCAGGAGCCGTTCCAGGCCCAGGAAGGCCCCGGGTTCGGGGAAAGCGGCAGTGGAGGGCGCTGCACTCTCCTCCGAGTCGGGGAGCAGCTGCTGCTGCTGGTGCTGCAGGCGAATTGCCTGCTGGATGTCGGAGAGCAAATCTTCTTGCTCCGTGGCCGAATGGAAGCTGTAGATGTCCGTGTCCGAGCCGGAACTGGTCCTTTGTCCATCCTGAGCGCCGGCCGCAGTTTCCAAATCCTCCACAACCGCCTGGACCTCGGCAGGCCTAGGAGCACCCGGACGGGTGACCTCAAAAGGGTCCGCACACTCGGTATCCGACAGACCCGTCTCCTCCGCCGAGAGGCTGAGGTCCGGGGTCTTGGTGACCAGAGAGTGCGCGCTGTCCAGCTCCCCGGTCTGCAGGGCCTGAGAGTCCAGCACATCCTCCCGGGAGTCGCCGGCACCCTTCCCCTTGCTCAGGTTCTTCCTGATCCGCAGGTTGGAAAACACCGAGGCTCTGGAATCAGACTTGCTCTTCTTCTTGCCCGGCTCCCCGCCGCCACCCCCTCCCCCCTTGCCGTGCTTGCCCAGCGCCTTCTTGCTCGTGCTCCCCTTCTTTGTGGCTTCCGCATCCCTGGGCCCCACAGCATCCTCGGCGCCTCCGCCGCCACCTTCGTGGGAGGCATCACCTGCGCTTCTCTTCAGCTTCCCATCTTGGTTCCCCATGCTGCAATCCGGCTGCTGCGCCGCCGCCCTCGGGTCCTCAGGCCATGTCGGCCCCGGCCAGGGCCAGGAGAGCCTCCCGCACGAATCAGGCAGCAGGGCCCGCCGCGGGGAGCGCAGGCCGAGAGCGCCCAGCGGCCCCGCTCACATCTGCCGCAGCTTCGCAGAATGCGCGGCGGCTCTCCCGGCTGCCGTCCCTGTAGCTGTGGCCCGCGGGCTCCTCACGCACATTGCAGCGCGCACTCCCCACCAATGGCTGCACAGGACACAGCCCACGCCTGGCTCCCCGCCCACGCCGCCCCCTCCGTGCCCCGGCTCCTCCCTGAACCTGGCGCGAAAAACGTTCTCTCATTCTTTGGAGGTGATCGTTTTCTCTTTCTTCTTTCTTTCTTTCCTTCTTCTTTTTGTACGCAGTATTGTGCTATGTAATTCAGGCTGGGCTCGAACTTGTGATCCTCCTGCTTCAGCCTCACAAGTGCTGAGATTACAGGTAGGATCTACCATACCCTGCTAGCTCCCGTACATTAATTTTCACCTCGTGTTGCCCCTCCCCAAGAACTTGTCAATTGGAAGATGTACAGGAAACTTCAAAGTGCTGAGAACCTGCAGTGGTTTGAGGAAAAAACAAAACAGAAACAGAAAAGAAGAAAATTTTGTATGAGGACAAACTGAAGCCCAGTTCCAGTTATGCACACCATGGTATCACAGCCACTTACACAACATTCCCCTTCAGTCTTCCTGCTTCTACATGGCTCGTCCATATATGCTTGTTGAATGAATGGACTGTTGTGTTTCTTGAATAATTGATCATCTCCTTGAACACTTTAATGTGCGTGAGTGTATGGTTAGGAAAGCTTACTACCCATGGTGCTGCACAGCGGTTTCACCCAGACCTTGCTTCTCCAGGAGAGGACTCTCATTTCCAAAGCAAGTTTATCAAACATTTTTGAACAAAAAAGGCGAGGTAAGGGAAACTGAAAATACTGAGATTAGAGTTGATTAAAATGCTAATCTCAAAATTCTGTGTGTTTACCATATAAATTAAACAGCATTTGTATTTAAAAAGCGTGCAAATGCTATAACTCCCAGGAGGTCAAACTCATCAATATTAAACATGCCGCTATTGTGGTTGACTATTAAAAAAAAGGGAAAAGACAGAAAGGAAACACCCTTGGCACAAACACAGGAAATCAGATGTCAGGATATAAACCACCATTTTCCCAAGCTAATCCTTCCACACGCTTTGTCCTTTACGGAGGCCTCAATGTCAGCATAAACACTTTTCCTCATTATAAATATTCTGATTGCTTTAATTACTTATTAAATTTATGTACCTACTAAAGAATATTTTTAACAGCACTAGTATTGAAAGATGCTCCAAGTAGTAAACTAAGATTAAAGTGGCCTTAATCAACAGATGTTCAAGTAATTAAATCAGAGGTTCATTGTTAACTCCTTTGAAAAGATGGAACAGTTCTCCATCTTGCTAATACTAAAGTAAACCCAGAAGAAGGAAAAGTACTATAAATTATATGATTTAACTTAAATGCAGCAAGCGTGTGGTCTTCCTCTGCATACTATGAATCAACATTTTAAACCTCTCTCCTGTAACATCTTCATAAAACAAAGTTAGTTCTATAAGTCTGTGATAGAAAAGCATATGTAGCAATTACTAGGCCTTTCCAAGCTATGTTCTTAAAAAATAAATGTAACTTCAAGGCAAGTAGATAGTTGTCCTTGAGTGGCCCTCTTGAGTAAATGGTTTGGAGAAATCAACTATAATAACTTTGCCACTGTAATATCCCAGCCTCCAAGTGATTCCTGAGTGCTTGAAAAGCCTTTGTTTCTCCTCTTTCACAAGACTGCCCTCTTCTTTCCTCTGGAATCCAGGCTCCCCAGAGTGCAGCATTTGCGTTGTGGATATTAGGATTTTTCTGAGTGCTGAGGTACTTTGAATCCTGACTTGCTCTTTCTTGAACGGAACATATTGACTCTGAACTATTTGTTTCCTTACTACTTTCTTCTGTGGTGTATTAAGAGGCTCAGGGGAGGGAGGGATGGAGAGTAGAAGGAAAGGAAGAAAGGGGACTCCTTTGAGTGGGAAACAATAGGTGGCAGCTGTGCAGCTGGTCAGAGTTGACAAACGCTGTATTTCATGCCTTGAAGGCTCATTGGAAACTCACCAGTGTGGGTGTCAAATGCAAGTAGGCATCCTCTACCCAATAATGATTAACACATAAGCTCAATTCAGAGAGCCAAAGAGATTTGACCAGGTTTACATAGCAGCAGAGGCAATACTTGAACCCACAAATTTAGGTTTCAAACTCCTTATAACAAACAACACCACAGTGTTTATTCTTTGAGAGACTAGTAAGGATATCATAAAGGCAAACTGCAAAAGTCTGTCAGAACATTCCGTGGTATTCAGTAGGTATATAGTAATCCCAACAATGCCTGGGACATGGGCCAAGTTAAGTCTATTTCATCAAGAAAGAGTATTAGGGCTGGCAATGCAACAGGGAGGTAAAGTCCCAGCATCACCCTCCCCCGCACCGCCCAAAACGAAAGAAAGAAAAGTATCACGTGTGGTAGTAAAAACACACTTAACATGTAATTAGAAACCCTACTTTGTGCCTCGTCACATTGTAGGTGCCAGGGTACAGAAGAGAAGCAGACACGTGCAACCTACCCATACATTCTAGGATGTACCATTTGTAATTCTATTGGTAAAAGTCTTCTCAAAACGAATACAAAAACTGGACATAAAATAAAATGCAACGCTACCCATTTTCCAGAAGAAGGACTTGGATGTAGGATACGAGTTTATGAAATAAAATTAGTGAACTAGGGGTGGAGCTCAGTGGGGTAGACCATATGTTTAGCATAGACACAGTCCTGGATTTGATCCCCAGCAACTCAGAATAAATAAATAGACCAGAAGTGGTAGTGCATACCTATAATACCAGCTGCATCGGAGGAGAAGATAGAGGATCACAGGTCAGAGACTAGTCCCGTGCAAAAAAAAAAGCCAGACCCTATCTGAAAAATAAATTAAAGCAGAAAAAAAGGCTAAGGGTGTGGTTCAAATGTTAGCAAACACAAGGCCCTGAGTTCAAACTCCAGTAGTGCCAAAATAATAATAAAATAAATAAGTAAATAAATTCAAATTAGTAAAAGAAGGTTGATAAACTTGAAGCAAATATGAACTATAGTTCATAGTATGTATGCTGCACAATTGTACTAATCTCTGCAATTTACTCTAAGATGTGTAAAAAAATAAAATGCTTTGACATATGGACAGATATGTGATGAAGCAAACCAAATAAAATGTTAGTTTTATAATTTACAAGGTAGATACATGGTGTTCACTGGGAAATTCTTTTAACTTTTCCATATGATTGAAATTTTTCATGATAAAATGTTGGAGAAAAAGCAAGTTTCAAGAATGTGTGAATTTTTAGCTTTCTTGAAATTAAAATCCTATAATGATTAATGGCACTCAGTAAACACTGAATGAGGGTTGGAGGTCGATAGTACCGCACGTTCCTAGCACATTTGAGGCCCTGAGTTTAACCCTCAGCACTGTAAAAGAAATAAGGAAATGAAAGGTTTTTGATAATTGTTCTACTGAGGGCTTTCTAAATTATTCTTTCTGCTTAGCTTTGGTGGAATGTTCTGGAATCTCTAATAGAACAATACCAGGTTGCATGGTATTTGTCTCACCCTTTTCTCCAGCAAATGCATGTTCCGTTCCCTTTTAGAAGATAACTGTTCTGTGCTGGCATCAGTTACTAAGCTGCGGCCTCCCAAATCCACCTCTCAGATGCAACTTTGCTCCTAAACCATCCACCCCTGAACCCAGTTTCTACAGAACACCCTACTCCCAGTCAAATCCAACGTACATGAAATTCAGCTTCTCTTGCATATCTTTCTCCTTTATTTTTTCTTTCAATAAAAGCACTACAATGACTTCACTGCCCAACCAGATCGGTTGCTGACTCCTTCTGATCTCCCCATACCAACAATTCACCACTCTCAGAGACTTCTCTGTTCTTTCTCCTCAATGTTTCTCAAATCCATTCATGTCTCCCATACCAACTGTCACTTTTCTTGCCTCCTCTATCCAAACTCCAGCTTCCATCTGTTGCCCCATTATCACAAACCCCTTCCAGCTGCAGGGATGGTTTTGCTCCCCAGGGGATATTTGGCATTGTCTGAAGACAATGAGGGTGCTGCTATTAAACATAATACACAGAATGTCCTCCATGACCAAGTATGATCCAGCCTAACAAGGGCACTGAGGCTGTGGTGAGACACCTGCTTTACCATGAAGCCACTCATGGTTGACTCTCAATAGAGTTTACTGAATGCGGGCTGTGGATATAGCTCGGTGTAGAGCAACGGCCTAGCATGCAGCATGCCCACAACCCTGGCTTTGCTCTCAGCACCACACACGCACGCGCGCACACAAACACACACACACGCACACACACACAAAGTTTATTGAGTGAGTGAAAAAATAAAGAAATCAAAATATGTCTCCCAGTTAATCAAACTAAATTGGAAACATAAAGGCAGAACCCTTGACAAGCAAGATTTCAAACACTGTGTCTATAGTGGCAAATATCTTAAATGAGGAATTAACTCCGCTCTAAGACATTTGAACTTCCATGAAACTATACAATCTGTACAAATACTCCAAGTCTTCACATACTTGACAACATTATTAAAAGCCCTTGCTCTTGCCAGAAAATTTCAGGTAAAGACAAAGTTCCTGAATTACCAAAGCTCTCCTTTTTTTTTTTTTTTTGTCCTCCTTTCTTGGTTGGTCGGTGCTGGAGAATGCAGGGCCACTGTGCACTGCATTCACTCCAGCACTGATCTAGGTTAAGTGTATCTCCAACAACTAGTTATGTAGTTTTTACTGCCACTATTTTATAAATGTAGCATTTGGAAATAAAATGTTTACAAAACAGAGGAAAGTCAAATACTATTTTCCCAAG